AAGGCCGCCAAGAAGAAAGAGGCTGACGCCTTGGTCTTCGAGCTGCACGTTTTTGCCATCAACAACCCTAGCGTCTTTGAGATCGAGGCTTGGTCTGCGGACAAAATTATGCTAACGGAGTTCCCCACATAAAGATGTTACAGGGTTCCATTGCTTCTTGTCTGCGCTCTGGTGGGGCCTCCCTGGAGGGGCGGGAGGGGCACGAAACCTGATGAATAATATGGTGTGCGAATGCCTTGCCCGCTCCGGTGGGGCCTCCCTCGAGGGTGGGAGGGGCGCGACACCTGATAAATAACATGGTGTGCGAATGCCCTGCCCGCTCTGGTGGGGCCTCCCTGGAGGGGCGGGAACGGCGCGAAACCTAATAATAAGATATGGCGTGCGAATGCCCTGCCCGCTCTGGTGGGGCCTCCCTGGAGGGGCGGGAACGGCACGAAACCTAATAATAAGATATGGCGTGCGAATGCCCTGCCCGCTCTGGCGGGGCCTCCCTGGAGTGGCGGGAGGTGCACGAAACCTGATAAATAACATGGTGTGCGAATGCCCTGCTCGCTCAGGCGGGGCCTCCCTAGAGAGGTGGGAGGGGCATGAAACCTGATAAATCAGATGGTGTGCGGATACCCTGCCCTCTCTGGCGGGCCCCCCCTGGGATGTTGGGAGGGGCGCGAAACCTGATAAATAACATGGTGTGCGGATACCTTGTTTGCTCAGGCTGGGCCTCCCTGGAGGGGTGGAGGGGCGCGAAACCTGATAAATAATATAATGTGCGAATACCCTGCCCGCTCTGGTGGGGCCTCCCTGGAGGGCTGGGAGGGGCGCGAAACCTGATACATGACCTGGTGTGCGAATGCCCTGCTCGCTCAGGCGGGGCCTCCCTGGAGGGGTGGGAGGGGCGCGAAACCTGATAAATAACATGGTGTGCGAATACCTTGTTTGCTCAGGCGGGGCCTCCCTGGAGGGGTGGGAAAGGCACGCAAACTTAACTAACATGGTGTGCGAATACCCTGCTCGCTCAGGCGGGGCCTCCCTGGAGGGGTGGGATGGGCAGGATACCTAATGCATAACATGGTGTGCGAATGCCCTGCCCGCTCTGGTGGGGCCTCCCTGGAGGGCTGGGAGGGGCGCGAAACCTGATACATAGCATGGTGTGCGAATACCCTGCTTGCTCAGGCGGGGCCTCCCTGGAGGGATGAGTGGGGCAGGAAACCTGATAAATCACATGGTGTGCGAATACGCTGCTCGCTCAGGCGGGGCTTCCCTGGAGGGGTGGGAGGGGCACGAAACCTGATACATAACATGGTGTGCGAATGCCCTGCTCGCTCAGGCGGGGCCCCTCTGGAGGGGTGGGAGGGGCACGAAACCTGATAAATAACATGATGTGCGAATACCCTGCCCGCTCAGGCGGGTCCCCCTGGAGGGGTGGGAGGGGCACGAAACATCATACATAACATGGTGTGCGAATGCCCGCTCGCTCAGGCGGGGCCTCTCTGGAGGGGTGGGAGGGGCACGAAACCTTATAAATAACATGGTGTGCGAATACCCGCCGCTCAGGCGGGTCTCCTTGGAGGGGTGGGAGGGGCACGAAACCTGATACATAACATGGTGTGCGGGTACCTCCGCTCGGGGCCTCCCTGGAGGGGTGGGAGGGGCACGAACCCTGATACATCGCATGGTGTGCGAATGCCCTGCTCGCTCAGGCGGGGCCTCCCTGGAGGGGTGGGAGGGCACGAAACTGATAATAACAGGGTGTGCGAATACCCTGCTCGCTCAGGCGGGGCCCCTCTGGAGGGGTGGGGGTGGGGTGGGGGGGGGGGGGTGGGAGGGGCACGAAACCTGATAAATAACATGGTGTGCGAATACCCTGCCCGCTCAGGCGGGGCCTCCCTGGAGGGGTGGGAGGGGCACGAAACCTGATAAATAACATGGTGTGCGAATACCCTGCTCGCTCTGGAGGGGCCTCCCTGGAGGGTGGGAGGGGCACGAAACCTGATAAAACATATGGTGTGCGAATACCCTGCTCGCTCAGGCGGGGCCTCCCTGGAGGGGTGGGAGGGGCACGACACCTGATAAATAACATGGTGTGCGAATGCCCTGCTCGCTCAGGCGGGGCCTCCCTGGAGGGGTGGGAGGGGCGCGAAACCTGATCAATAACACGGTGTGCGAATACCCTGCTCGCTCAGGCGGGGCCTCCCTGGAGGGATGGGAGGGGCACGAAACCTGATAAATAGCATGGTATGAGGAAAGGCATGGTGTGGTATGGGATGGTGGATGCATGGTATGGTATGGTAAAGTATGGTATGGAGTGGCATGGTATTGGTATGGTATGATACAGTATGGGATGGTGGAGGAAGCGCGCGCTGCCCCAGCAAGATCACGCAGCTGAGCAACGAGCTGGGCGGATGGCCAACGCCCCAGTTCGCCGCCCTCGACGATGAGAGCAATAATAAGTTCTTTAACGACATCAGGGACATCACGAGCCGAAAGGATGTCGTCGCGCAGTTCCACGAGTACGTGAAGGGCTTCGAGGAGCGCGCCAAGTGGTGCGCAGAAGGAGGAGAGTTCTTGCCGCTGAGTGCGCGGGCAGTCCGCGGCTTCGACACGGATCGGATCGAGCGCTTGTCGCGCCCGTGGGGCATCAAAGACGACCGCGCCCTCGGAAACACGTGCCGCGTTCCGACATGCTCGGCCGGCGCATCTGGCGCGAAGGGCGCCAGGCGAAGGGGCGCGAGAAGGAGGAAAAGCGGCTGGCGGCCCAACGGTTGAAGGGCGGCGAATGGAACCTGGCGGACGCGACTGCGATGTCGGACAAGGTCGGGCTGTAGGACTGCCAGGGCGGTCGGTCCCTGCTCGAGAGAAGCTGCGCCGGGGTAGGGGCTGGCGGCGTCAGGCGCGGCAGGGGGGGGGGGTCGCTGGGCGGCGCAGGCCGCTCCCAGGTGCCGTGCCAGGCTTGGCCTTCGTGCCCATCCATCGGCGCAGTTCGGGCGGCGCGGACGCTGGTGGATATCAGGGGAGGAAGGCAGTGGCGCAGCGGCAAGAGGGGCGCCGCGAGCGCCCGAATACATTCCAAAGGTGCGATGCCGAATGCGGGCGACGAGCAGAGGCGATCGCCCTCCACGAACGGGTCGCCCCGTGGCCACGCAGTGACGCCAGGGCACGATCGAAGCGTGCTTCGCGGGCGCCTTCGCGGGCAAGGGCGGCGTCGCCAAGGCCATCAGGAGGCGCGGCTTCCAGGCGCGCGTCTGGGAGAGGTCCCGCGGCAGCCGCGGTGGCCAGGCCGCGCCGCGCGTCCTTCGCCACCTCCTGTTCGACATCCGTACCAGGAGATGTCGAGGCGCGATGATTGTGCCTCCCTGCTCCTTTTTTTCCATCGCGAAGGCCCGCGCTGCCCCAGTCTGCAGTCTGACGTGCCTGGGGCCTTCCGCGGCCCCAGATGTCCCGATGTGATTGGACAAAGATTCAGGCCGGCAACAAGTGTTTGCGCGTTGTGTCGAAGATGATCCCGGTGCGTAATTCCACGCACGTCTCATGTCTCTTGGAGAATCCGCACAGTAGCTACATGTTTTAAACACCAGAGCTCCTTTCCCTCGCGGACATACCTGATGTCTCTACAGTTGTCTCAGATTTTTGTTTATTATGAACCAGATGGAGGAAGCGGACTCGCTTCCTGGCCGGCCACCTCTGCCCCGATGAGCTCGCCAAATCACAGAATTTGCGTTGGGCGTGCCGGAGTTTGTAGTCGGACCGGCAGGCCACATCTCGTGCTCGAAGGGTCGTCGCTCGAGGGGGGGAGGTGGACCGCACTAGCCCAGACGTGCCCCCAACCTTTCCGTAATGCATTGGCGTCCGTGCTCACGTCCCAGGCCCGTTTTTTCGTTCAAGTTTGAGAATGCATCCTGTTGTGGGATGGCGCCGGAAATCTACGCACATAGCTGTAGGCAGCTGTTTGCAGATAGTTTCATAATACGGAGTTACGCGATGACTTGGTGGTGTTCACGAGAATCTAGTACCAGGTGAAAACATATCACTCCTGTGGAGTTCGCCGCCCCCCGCGTGCAACAGCATGGAGGTGCGTGCGCGTGAGTGATGTATAAGCGGCCTTTGTCGCCACCTGCGTGGACCCTTTCCCGTCTTAGGCGCGAGGCGCTTGGATAACTGCGCGTCGCGGCCCTTGGGGGTTTGTTCCTGTGTGCTCGCACTGTTGGGGATTGGTTTTGGCACTCGGCCTCTAGCCAGTTCTCCATAGTTGTTTTTTTTTGGCTCTCGTCGCCAGCCCACAGCACTTTCGTAATCAAGTAATTCTCGTTTCCCGAGTACATTGTATTGTCCACCTGGGAAATCTACACGCGTAGCTGTAGGCAGCAGTCAGCTGATAATAATCGAATGCTGATGTACGCGACTTTGTGGTGTTCACGAGATTATGGCAGCACGTGAAAACATATCACACCTGCGGAGTTCGCCGCCCCCCGCATGCATATGCATGTGCGTGTGCATTCACCGCGTGCTTAGAAACGGTCGGGTACGTCACCAGGTAATATTTTTATGTCGTCGTTGATTCCCCTATATCCGAGCTTCCCGCCCCGCGAGGCGGATCGACACGCTATCTACCCGCGGGGCATGGCGCGTCGCCGGGGCCACCACGGCGACGCGCTGCCCAAAAGTTCCCGATCGTTTTCGAGCCAACGCCGGTTCGGCAACCGCTTGCTGGAGGGAGGGGGGGCCCAACCCGAGGGCCTGCTCCCTGCGACGCGTGTCGGGCGGGGGCTGGAAGGATGAAAAGGACGGGCAATGAAAAGAAAAAACAGAAGACGAACAAAAAAGAGGGGAGTGGACGGACGGAAAGCTGTAGGGTTTTGGAAGGCATGGGCGCGGCAAGGTTCCGATATCGGTCCAGGGGTTCTGGAGACGCCTTGAGAGCGGTCCAGGAGAGCTCGCGACAGGAAGGCCACAATCACATATCATGGTTCGGGGCTCACTGACTTTAATATTGTCGCCGTCTCGGTCTTGAGATCGCGCATGACTTCCCAAGAGGCTCCCAATATCGGTCCCTGACAGCCTCCGTAACCATTTGAGCTCAAGGTGGAGTCCGAGCAGGCACGTGCGCGCGGCCCCGAACGGTGAACCATGGGCTACCATTGCAACCGATACGCTCTCGCAGCCGTCACCGGGCTCGCGGTCGGCTTCAGCCTGGGGTTTGCCGCGGTGGCGAGACCATCCGACCTGGCGGAGGCCTCGTGGCGAGACTATCCGACCTGGCGGTGGCGAGACTGTCCGACGTTCGGTATCCAAGGGCTGCAGGAAAGCGGGGCGGCGGCAACAAGAGTAATCGCGCCTTCAGGGTCGCCGCCCGGGCGGCCAGCGCTGCGCGCGGGCGAGCCCACCACAGGCGTTGGCGCGGCCGTGCCTGTGGCCGCAGCGACCGAGCGGGCCAGACCCCTGGTCCCGGCGGCGGCGAGCGTGGCGCAGGAGTTCGGCGGGATCGATGGGCTTTGCAAGCATTTCGGCTGGACAGCTCGTCCAGAGGGTCAGCGAAGACCCCGGCTTTTTTACGGCACCGTCGTCGGGAACGACGGCCAGCAGGACGTCTATGACCTGGCTTTCGCAGAGGTCTATCCGCTTGTTGATCGAATCGTTGCTGTGGATCCTTTGATGACCCAGACAGGAGCTCCAAGGCAGCCGAGCTTGAACATGTCTGAGGCGAGGTGGAAGCGCTATGGGGACAAGCTGCGGCACATCGTGTTGGAGAGTCCGGTCCAGAGTGGAACCCACAAACTATTTCCGAAATGGTCTTCAGAGCAGCGGGATAAGTTGAGCAGGCCAGGGCATCACCACGGCGGGGATTTGAGCCTCTTGGAGGAGTGGACCCGCGCCCAACTCCAAGGGGGCTTGCAGGACTCTGCGGGCGCATGGGAGTTGCACAAAGAGGACATCCTCATCGTCGCGGACTCTGACGAAATCCCGCTTCGTGAGTCTCTCGTTGCCCTCGTTGACTGTGAGAGCACCGTGTTCGCGGAGGTGAAGCGCAAGCTGGCCGGGGGCATAAAGCCACAAGACGCATGCGCTAAGGACGCGAAGGTCTTGTTGCATTCCCAAGTGTTTGAGTATTACATCGATTGTCCCACCACCGTTCCTGCGTGGTGGCACCCAGACGCTATCCTCGCCGTCTGTGTCATGGATGGCGGGATCGACATGGAGGAGGTCCGCACTGGCAGCTCTGGCAGTATGACGTCTGTCGTGGCCTCTCGTCACATCCACAATTTTGCGATGTCCAACGATGATGTCATCTTTAAGTACACGCACTACATGGAGCCAAGGGTCGCAGGTCTGGACGCTGGGCTGTCAGCTCCGACGATTGACGAGATGCGCTGGCGAGCCTGCGACCCGAATGCACCAGACATTGGGCCTGGCGGCTGGTACATGGACGTCAGGCCGTCCAACGAGTTCGTCAACCCGAACAACAAGCGTGGGTACCAGCTGCGCGCGGAGCAGCGGCGTGGGATCGACAGGCCTTTCGCGCTGCTCGAGGAGAAGCCAGAGTTGGCCGCGAAGACCTTCTGGAAGGGACACGACGAGCACGTGAACCCCTTCGTGGGGAAGCCTGGCGGGCATCACGACTTCTCGCCAGGCTGGCAGGAGAAGCGTGGGAAGCCAGGGTGGTGATGCCCTCGGGTCGGATCGGGTCTGGCATGGCATTCGGATGCAGTGCGGAACACCGTTGCCCCGCGGACTGAGCTCGGACAAGACTGCCCAAGGGGCCTCCGAGAGGTCCTCCAGGAGGGCGCGAACATGCTAAAATCATTGACGTTGCTCTGCATTCCGACGACCCAAGACGGCCCAAGAGGTCCCCAAGATCGCCCCTAGAGCGCCCAAGAGGCCTCCAAGATGGCCTCAGGATTGCCCAAGAGGCCCCCAAGACGGCCCCACGAGGGCCCAAAGAGGCTTCCAAGACGCCCAAGGAAACCTCCAAGACTGCCCTGGTGTCCGGAGTGCTCCGGGTGTCCTGGGTGCCCCGGGTGTCCTGGGCCCGGTGTCCCGGACTGAAGCCGGAGAGGAGACTCTCCTCGATGTGTTGGGTGTGATTCTACAGGCTTGCACCACATCCGCCGACCCCGTCTGTGAGTGTTGCGAGGCCAAGAGTTTCTGGCCAGCGGCGTCTTGTGTGAGGGTGCGGTGTCGCGCGCGGGTGGTGGCAGATACGTAGGGGGTCCAAATGTTTGCGTGATGCCGGTGGTCTGGGGCGTGTTGTGCGAGCGCTTTGCGTGCTGTGCACCCGGGTGCGGGGTGTCCTTCTGGGAGGTCGGCCTTTCGACCCGCAACCAAGTGGAGGAGCACTGGAAGACGAAAGGAGCAAGAGTAGTGTGTGGAAGCTGTGATCAGCGAAGCATCACAGCGAAAGATGTGGCAGATGAGTCGAAACGGGTGAAGAGGCTGTTGACGTTCGCAGCGCGCACGAAACAGTTCGCGCGGCAGCAGCGCATTAGCGCCGAGCAAGATAGTGAGCACGTCGCGAGGAAGAGTAAGGCTGTACGCGCGGAGTGCATTGCAGTTGGCTTGGCGGCTCGCAATACGGAAGCGTATGGGGGTCTTTTGGGGGCCTCCTAGGGGCCTCTTGGGGGCTCCTTGGGGCGTCTTGGCGGCCTCTTGGGGGCCTCTGGCGGCCTCTTGGGGAACTCTTGGGGCCCCCTGGGGCTCGTGGGGGCGGAAAGCTAGTTTTTTGAATTATTGGTTGCCCTCTTGGGCCCCTCTTGGTGCCGTCTTGGAGCCTTCTTGGGCCGTCTTGGGGACCTCTTGGGCCGTCTTGGGGACATCTTGGGCCGTCGTGGGGCCGTCTTGGGAGCCTTTGGGGCCGTCTTGGGGCGGTCTTGGGGGCCTCTTGGACCGTCTTGGAGCGTCGGAAAGCCCACGAGGCGAATTTTTGACAAATATACGTTTTACAAAGGAAATGAGCAGATTTTGGCGTCTAGGGGCCCTCTTGGGACGCATCTTGGAGGCCCCTTGGGGGCGTCTTGGGCCAGTTGGAGGCCATCTCGGGTGTCTTCGATCGCTCTTGGACCGTCTGGGACCATGTTGAGCTCTCTTGGAAGCCACTTGGAGCGCTCCTGGAGCGCTCCTGGGGCCGTCTTCGGGGCTCTCTTGGGCCGTCTTCGGCGCCTCTTGAGCCGTCTTGGCGCACTCTTGGGCTGTCTCGGGGCCCTCTTGGAGGTTTCTTGGACCGTCTTGGTGCGGTCTTGGGGGCCTCTTGGGCCGTCTGGAACGTCGGAAAGCCCCAGAGGCGAATAAGTGAAACATGTGCGTTTTACGAAGGGAACGGGCCAACCTTTTGCGTCTAGAGGCCCTCTTGGGGCGCATCTTGGATGCCTCTTGGGGCCTCTTGGGGGCATCTTGGGCCGTCTGGAGGCCATCTTCGGTGTCTTTGATCGCTCTTGGACCGTCCGGGGCCATATTGAGCTCTCTTGGAGGCCACTTGGAGCGCTCCTGGAGCGCTCCTGGGGCCGTTTTCGGGAGGTCATCACCGGAGATGGTTCCGCTGGGCCGGAGGGGGAGCGGAAACCGGAACCGGAAACCGGAAACCGGAAAACGGAAAACAGCGAAGAAAGAAGCGGAGGCCGACGGCAGACGACAAGAATCGGAAAACGGAAAAGGGAAAACGGAAAACGGAGAAGAAAGACGCGGGGGGGGACGGGAGAGTACCGGAACCGGAAAACGGAAAACGGAAAGCGGAAACCGGAACCAGAAAACGGAAACGGGAAACCGGAAAGGGGAAAACGGAAAACAGCGAAGAGGGAAGCGGAGGCCGACGGGAGACCACCGGAATCGGAAAACGGAAAACGGAAAAAGGAAAACGGCGCAGAAAGACGCGAGGGACCACGGGAAAGCACCGGAACGGGAAAACGGGAGACGGAAAACGGAGACCGGAACCGGAAAACGGAAAGCAGAAACCGGAAAACAGCGAAGAGAGAGCCGGGAGCCGACGGCAGACCACCGGAATCGGAAAACGGAAAACGGAAAACGGAAAATGGCGTAGAAGGGCGCGGGTGCCCACGGGAGAGCACCGGAACCGGAAAACGGAAAACGGAAACCGGAAACCGGAACCGGAAAACGGAAACCGGAAAACGCAGAGCGGAAAATGGAAAACGGAAAACGGAAACCGGAAACCGTAAAACGGAAACCGGAAAACGGAAAGCGGAAAACGGAAAACGGAAAACGGAAAGCGGAAACCGGAAAACGGAAACCGGAAAACGAAAATCGGAGGAGGAGGAGGAGGAAAAGGAGGAGGAGGAGGAGAAAGAGGAAGAGGAGGAGGGGCCTCCCTTCCTCCTCTCTCCCTCTTGCCCCCCCCCCGCCCCTCCTCCCTCCCCGTTCGCTTTGCCAGGCTTCCTCCCTCCCTCCTGCCTCCCCCCTCGTTGATCCTGCCCTCACCTCCCTGTCTCCCTCCTCGTTCCCTCCTCCTCCTCCTCGCCCCTCTTCCCGAGCGGAGCCGGCGCGCGGGCTGGCCAGACCGAAGGACAACGTGCGGACGACCATGGCGGCGTTCGGCGCTCCTGCTTCGTACTCCAGTGGCGTTCATGGTCTTCGCTATATCCGGTCCGTGCTCAAAGAAAGTTCGTACTTCTCGGTTCTCCTCAACGCCGAGGGATGCGCGGCGTTCGGCTCCTCCTCTTCCACGCGGGTCCCAGTGATAACCACTGTTGAAGACAAAGTGCCGGGTGTATTCGGCTGCACGCAGGCGCACCGACGGGCTCTGCGGTGCGGCGCGGCGCTCTGCGGCGCGGCGGGGCGGCGTTGTATTCTCGAGGACGACGCCGTTCTTGGCTCGGCCGAATATCCCTCGCGATGCACTTTCCCGCATCCTGAACGGGGCGTCGAGCCGTTCCCTGCAACACTTGTCATCGATATCGTGGCGGCCCTCACCAGTACCACCAAAGTGCATGACTTACACGTCATCTGGCTCGGCGCGAGGGTGGGCTTCCCATGCGAGGACAAGGGCGAGTATGCAGGCGAGGTGTTGGCCGCCTGCCGCCGCGGCGGCCGCCTCTTCGAGCTGCGGAGGGCGTCGTCGTGCTATCTATCACACGCTTACATCATCAGCCCAGCGGCCGTCCCCACTTTGGAGGGGCACCTTGCAAGTGGCTACGCCGCTGACGGCGCCCTCGCAGCCGCAACCAAGCACGGCCACCTATCGGGCGCCCGGTTCTTTGTCGACGGAGAGCAGTGTAACTTCATTATGCAGCGCGATTCTCGCGCTTGGCGCGGCGGGCCCAAGATCCGCGGGCCCGCGGCGCTTCAGGCAGCCCGCGAGCTCAGAGTGACATAGTGGTTCACGGCGCACCCTTGTAGCCATTGCGCCCAGTGCTCCGGTGATCCTCGGCTTGCTGCGCTGTGCTGTCACGCGGCGGCGGCGGTGACGACGACGGCGGCGACGAGGACGGCGGCGGCGGCCGCGGCGGCGCCAGTGGCGGCGGCGGGGCGGGGATGCCAGACATGCCTGAGTGGCAGGAAAATGCGCGACATCGACGTGGGCCCGCGGCGCCCCGCGTGGAGTTGGCTCTGTGGGCGCGCATCATGACGCGTCGGGTGGAGTCTCAGTTCCGGCGTGAATGGCGGTTTGGTTTTACGTTGTCGTCGGTTTTGTTTCAAAATTCGTGTTGCCAAAAAAGCCCCGGTCCGTGCGGGGGGGGGGGGGGGGGGGGGTGAGGGGGTGGGGGGGGGGGGGGGGGGGGTGGGGGGGGGGTATGGGGGGTGAGGGGGGCGGCGGGGGGCGGCAGGGGGGCAGGGGGGAGGGGGGTGGCGGGGGGGGGGCTGTGGTGGGGGGGGGGCTGGGAGGTGGGGGGGGGAGGGGGGGGGGGGGGGGCCGGGGCGGGGGGGGGGGGGGCGGCGGGGGGGGGGGGCGGGGGGGGGCTTGGCGGACCATCGAAAGGACGGAGAGTCGGAATGCCAGTATTCGCAAGGAGAATTCGAGAAGGCAGCTGTGAGCATCGTAGACGCCTTGCACGGTGCGTACAAAGATCCGTCAACCGGGAAGACCACGAAAGTGCGCGGAGATTTCTCGAAGCTGAAATATGTGCAGTCGCTCGACCCGATAGCGAAACGATTGGCCGCGGGAGCCAGCGCGGTTGCTCGCGAGATTGAAGGGACAAACGAAGTGCGGACGCTCATGAGGTACGACACCCATGCTGCTCGAATCGCCCATGGGGTACCGCTATTTTTCACCATGTCCCCGGATGAGAGGCACAACCTGGTAATGGTGCGGCTGTCGCGGTCGCGAAAAAAGGACCCCGTGAATCGTCGTGCAGCGCGGGCGCGCCACGGCCCAACGCATGGTGGGTTGTGGGAGCCGTCGTTGGCGCACAAGGAAGATATCTCTGGAAATGCCGCGACAAGAGAACGGAGCGAGCAGGCGAGCGAAAACGGATCGGACTCGGAGGGGGCTGAGGGTGACGACGACGTGGACATGGCAGTGCCTCTGGAGATGTTGGCAAATGCCGTTCCCGCGTCGGACGAGAGAAGGGCTGTGCTGGCTCGGGGCCCGCTTGCGGGCGTGGACGGGTTTAGGGTCATCGTGGGTCTTGTATTCGTGTACATTTTGGGTATGCGGTATTGTCCGAATTGCCCGGACTGCGAGTGCGCAGACTTGCTTGGCAGCAACGCGACGGCGGTGGGCGGATGCTTAGGTCGCGTTGACGGGGTGTACGGCAGCGTTGAAGCTCAGAAGTCGGCTGGAAGTCTGCATCTGCACGTGCAAGTCTTCGTTCAGTGCTTGCACCAGCATGCCCCGTTGCACGAACTGTTAAAGCTGCCGACAGATTTGCTGAGGGGGCTGGTAGAAGAGTACAAGAGGTACAAGAGAAACGCGAGTCGTCAAGAGTACGCTGACGTAGAGGGCTGGCGGGACA